TTTAGTACAGTCAAAACTTCGCGTTTTTTTTTTATTTTATTTATTTATTTATTATTATTATTTTTTTTTGATTAATAATTTTCTTTTAATTATTTTTCAACATTCAAATGTTTGCCAGGAAGTTACAAGCGGTATCGAAGGAGAAAGCGGATACAGAACACTCTAGACTCCAAACAGAGGCTGATATCCGTAGTATTCGATATAAATAYGAACAAGAGAGCGAGGCGAGAAGAGTTGCTGAATCATTGTTGTCTCAACTGAAGGACCAAATAAAGAGATCTGAMGATAAACTGGCTAGGTGAGCTATGAACCATAAATCGCGTAATACTATTAATAAGAATAACCCATTGAGTTTAGTCAGAACCGCGGTACTCTAGTTTCGATTCTCTAARGRTTAGCCTCAATTTTGTGAARAATATTCACGTGTTYCAGTGGAGGTCGGTAGAATTTCGTATTTTCTATATGCACTTTTGTCACAGGGCCGCTATGTTTATTTTCATGGGAATATACTTTTTTCACGCGTACTATACATTTATTTTCAAGCATTTAAATGCGAGGTTGCGCGAATTTATTTACGAACCAACATGGCTGCCGCGTAAAAATGACCCATTATTGAAGCTCTACATTTTTCCTTTAAGGCCGGTTTAAACGGTGCGATTTTCGCCTACAACTATCGTATACAACAAGCTCGCGTCTGTCGTAGGCGAGTTGTAGGCTTGATTTACACGCTACGACTCGAGTTGTAGGATGGCGCGAGCGTGTTGTATACGATAGTTGTAGGCAAAAAACATACCGTCTAAACCGGCCTTTACCGTTATCATTTGTGGTTGTATTTTCACGATGAAAGGAGGCCAAGACGGAGAGTGTGTAATAAAAGAGAACAGCAGTATTTTACGAATTCGAGAAAAGTTTTTTTTGAAAGAATCGGAGAACATTCATCTCCGACCTCGTTGAGATGTCAGGAGTAATAATAACATTTCCTTTCGTTTTTTAATTCAATATTTTCTTAGACGTTATCTTTAGTGTTTGTACTGGTTTCCATTCCTTCAACCTTGAGCTTTACTTAACTTTTTTTCTTCATTAAATACACTTATCTTGTAACCCTGTCAATTTGTTTGTTCATTAACAGTATTTGTAACGATCATCTTATTTTTTGGCGCTCATTTCCGTGATTACCTTAGAGCTTTTAAGTAACRTAATAGCGGGTCCAACTACTTACAAAATCCGCTATGATAAAGCAATAGCGAGACAGACATAGAGAGAGGCAGAGAAGAAAGAAAAGAAAAGAAAGAAAAGGAAAGAAAAGAAAAGAAAAGAAAAGGAGAAAAAGAAAGAAAAAAGAAAAGAAAAGAAAGAAAATGAATAAAAGTAAGAAAGAAATGTTCGTTTTGTTTTAACCTCCAACAGAAACAATTAGAACTTTGGGAAACAAATTCTGTCACGAACAAAAAGTAATAAAAGTCTTAAAAGAAATACTTTTCGTTTTGGACCCGGAAGTCTTTTTTTGATACGATTGACGTAAAAAGCATTATAGCTTAATAACGTGATGTCCACTTAGTCCTAATGTGGTACACACCATTTAACATTTCAGAGAAAGCACTTAATTAAAAAAAATTCGTGGGCTCACGCGATGTTTGAATATGACTCCATATTTAATCAAACCCTGAAGCCATACAACGTCTGCTCTGATCAAAGTCAGGGTATAGCTAACTCACAATAATAATAATAATAATAATAATAATAATAATAATAACTTTATTTACGTGTCGAAATTTTCTAGTTTACAATAAATTGTGAACTAATAG